GTCACTCTCGAGTGTAATCTCTCTTCGTGTCTGTTCGACTCTCGGCCTGCATGCGGCGGCCGGCGAATGGCTCACGTTCGTCGCCCACGGTGTTATCAAAGTCGCCGGCAGAGAGCCCCCTCCCCCCTCCCCGTAAGGAGCGAGGGCCCGCTCGTGGGTGCTCTGCTGAGCCCTTACGGCCCGCCCGGTGCTCTGATAGGCGCGCGGCAGGTGCGAAGCAAAGGATCCATTACGTCACCGCAGTAGTTAGAACCCTTGTTGAAGTTGAAGACACGGCGTATCGGCGACACCCGCCCCGAGCAGCACCCGACCCGACACACTCGCACATGCCATGTAGAGCCCCCTTGTTCATGTGTCCCATCATCATTGCACTCCCATTGTAGGTGTCTTCGCTGAAGGAGGTGACGGCCATCACCAAGAGCCTGCTCGACATTCGCAACATGGAGGTGACCCACCTCCAGGAAGACATGGGCTCCATGGAGGGGAAGCTGGCCAACGAGCGGCAGCGGCAGCAGCTCTTGACCGAGCGCCATGACAAGGCGGTAGGCGGGTGCACGCGCTCGGCGCAGCCATGGGGCTCCCATGACCTAACCAAAAGTCCCCCACCATGCCCTGACCCTACCTCATTCCCAGCCTGGACCCGTTCTCTCTCAAAAAGAATAAACGAAAGACTAGAAAATGAATCAAAAATGTCGACACCGACAAAATACGGCGCACCGGCCGCCGGGTGGGTATGCAGCCCACAGCGCGCCAGTGTCGGAGAGGGAGAGGCCCTCCGGGCGCGGGCGCCACCCCTTCAGCATGACCCCCCCATGTTTGCTGTGATCTAACGTTCCTAGGAATAAGAGAGTGCCTTTTGTCAGTAAATGCATCACTACGTAACGTTCTAAATGGATTAAATTGTCGACACATAATATTAGACATTTTGATGTTGTTGTTTTTTTTAGTTTGGTCTTTCCGAGTTCTGTTCTGTTTTACTTTCAACGTGCTGTAACACCTCTCATCGTGCACAGCCCTAACCACCCTAACCCTTCACTTATCCTCTAACGGTAGCGAGTAACCCACTTCTAGGGGGCTGCGCCGGCTGCGCGCTGCTCCGCTCCGCCTCGTCGTCAAGGTGCCCCGGTCCGCCTCTAACTCTATTCTCCTCCTGTTGCAGGCCACGCTCAACGCCAAGCTCAAGGAGGAGTACGATGCGCAGATGAAGATCTTCCAGGACCTTAAGGGCAAGTACGAGGATAAGGTGGGTGTCCTGACCCGCGAGAACGAGCGCCTGCTGTCATCCATCGGCGACAAGACGGGCAAGCTGGCCGGCGAGGCCATCCTGACGGCCGAGCGCGCGGGCACCGGGCTGTCCTCCGCTTTGGGGGACGCTAAGGCCTCGGCCGCCGACAAGGCTAACTCCTTCCTCGGGGCCGCCAAGTCCGCTGCGGAAAACGCAAAGACTGCAGCCTCCGATAACGTCACCTCCATCTTCGGTGAAGCTAAATCGGCCGCAGAAAAAGCCGGATCAGCTGTCGGCGACGCCAAATCTGCAGCGACTGAAAAAGTCAGCTCTGTCTTTGGTGAGGCCAAGTCGGCCGCGGAGAAGGCAGGGTCTGCCCTCAACGACGCAAAGACTGCTGCCACTGACAAAGTCAGCTCAGCTATTGGAAACGCAAAGTCCGCTGCCGAGAGCGCCAAGTCAACTGCGACTGAAACTGTCACCTCCGCCATTGACAGTGCCAAGTCCGCAGCAGACAAGGCTGGAGTAGCCCTAAGCGACGCCAAGTCCGCTGCCACGGAGACGGTCAGCAATGCCTTCGGCAACGTCAAGTCCGCTGCGGAGGCCGCCAAAACCACCGCATCCGAGACAGTAAACTCAGCTATCGGCAACGTCAAGTCTGCAGCAGAGGCCGCCAAAACAACCGCGACCGACACAGTAAACTCAGCTCTCGGCAACGCAAAGTCAGCAGCCGAAAGCGCCAAGACGGCCGCCAGCGAGACGGTCGGCGTCGTCCTCGGAGAGGCCAAGTCTGCTGCCGGAGCAGCGGCTGGCCGGGCGGGAGCGGCTATTGGCGACGCTAGGGCTGCTGCCTCCGAGAAGGTCGGCGCCGTCATCGGTGGCGCAGTCTCCACCGCCACCGAGAAGGTCGGCGACGTCTTAGGCTCGGCAGCCGAGAGGGCGAGCGCAGCGCGGTCGGCGGCCAGCGAGGCCGTGGGCGCCGTGCTGGGGGCCGCCACAGAGCGGGCGACAGCCGCCGCCGGGGCCGCCGTCGACCTGGCCGATCAGGCGAGGTCGGCCGCCGGTGAGAAGGTCGGCGCTGTCCTTGGCGGCGTGAGCAAGGCCTCTGAGGCCGCAACCGGGAAGGCTAAGGGTGCCCTCGGTGAGGCGGACAAGGCCGTCGACAACCTCAACAATGCATTTGGCAAAGCTCTGGACTCTGTATTTCTTCCCAAATTCGGCGAAAAGTAAGCGGCCACACTGACATACAAAGGCCGATAGCCTTCCCAACTATGACTGTATTATGATTCCACCATTACTGTACAGTCCTTTCACTTTATATCTCAAGGCAGAAAGCTGTGAACAAATTGGGGTTATCATATGAAAGTCAATACTCCTATTAACACTGTTTGAGCAGTCTAGACTAGATGACCTCCCAGAAACGGTGTGTGGATCCATTTTGGAAATTGAGTGTTCTGTATGTGGCTCGCCAAACGGGCAAAGATGTGCTTATGTATATATAAACATTGTATTTATTCTTTTTTACGAGTAAGAAAGTAAGTTGTTGTTTTTCAGCGAAGACAAATAAAATAAAGTCTCCAAAACTTATTTTCTTCAGTGTTTTATCTTTTCACATGTCATTTCCCATAACTGGAATTTCGGTTAAATAAATAAACGCGGTGTAACTGAAAAAAAAATACCAGAGGTAGAATAAACGATAGCGCCCCGGCCTGGTCAGCCAACGCAGTGGTCGCACTCATACACTCTTATCGATGGTCGGGCCACGCCAAATCGGACCGGATCCCTGCGCTAATGGGTCCTGGACCTAGAGTAGATAACGTATCCGGTCAGCACACTTTAGCCCCAACCACGTCGTGCCCACCACCTCGTTGGATAAAAAAACAAATAAACGCAAAAAAAGAAGAAAAAAACTATTTGAGTTGATGTTAAATTTGAACAAACAGCATTACCAAAACAAGGGGGGGGGGGTATCAGTCCCATTCTACTTTGAAGATTTTTTGAGCCAGGTTTTCCGACCGAATTCCGTTACACGAGTTAAAGTCCACACTGTAAGCACTCTAGTTCATCTGGTCCAATAGTCCCACAAAATATCTAGCTTCATCATTTCCATTTAATTACATTTGACAACCGGGCTTCGTCACCTCTTGTTTCCACACAACTTTTGTAATTATGAAATGGTTGCGCCCTTGATGTTGAAACGCTCAACGTAATGGAGAAAGCTTAAGCACCACTCGAGATGATTATCTACTGTACCTTTGCTGCTATTTCCCTGTTCTCCTTTGCACATACATCTCCGCCACCCATACTATGTACCAGCACCAGCGATGCGATTAGTCTCGGATTTCTTCCGACAGCTCTGCAATCGGCAATAAGAGAGCGCATTTCTAAAATGTATTTAGAACAGTTGAAGTTAAACTCTGGCCAGAATAAAAGTGACACACAGCCTTGCCCTTGCAGCGACATGGCTTCTCCCCCAAACGCTCGTCCATCGCCTCGTGTGCCTGATGCAGTGCGGCCCGCCCCCTTCCCTCCCCTTCCTGCCCCCAGCCCCTCCCCGATGCATCCGCTGTCTCCAGGCCGATAGTGAGTGACTGGCACTCGCACGTATATAAGGCCCAGGACCTGAGCTGTCAGGCATCGACGGAGACCCAGTGTCTTCCAGCGCACCAGCTCCTCTCCGCACCAGCTCCTCCAAGCCCTTCGCTCATCATGGTCAAGATGGTCGTGAGCCTCGCCACCCTGCTAGCCGTTGGGTTGGCGCTGACTGCTGCCGCCCAGGTGAGTAGAGACACGGTGCGGCCGGCGCGGCGGGCCCGGGGGCAGGGTAGGCCACTGGCTCCGTGCGCGCGCCGGGCGGGCGGGCCCACCCCGCCGGCGCCTGATGAGCCAGTCAGCTGCGCGGCCGGCAGTCGGGCCCGGGGGGCCGGGGCCGGGGCCGGGGCCGTGGCCGGGCTACGACGCAGACTGAACGCATGCTTTGAATCCACAGGTGCAGTATGTGAACGACCTGGACAACGTCTTGGACTCCGCCTTGGACGAGGGCTGTAAGTGGGACGAGGACTCGTCCGAAAAAAAAAAAAAACCGACGACGCGATACGAACTGCATGCAAAACTGCGAAAATGTCGTTTTTTGATGTTTTCAGTTGACTCACCGCTGACTCCCGACCTCCGCATGGCGGGCGGGAAGATCGTCGAGGAGAGCAGCGACTCGTACCGCTTCATGGTGGCCATCCGGCCGCAGTACCAGGAGGGCGGCACCACCAGGTCCGCGCCGGTGTGCTCGGGCGTGCTCATCCAGGGCAACGTGGTCAACCAGCAGGGCGCCGTCACGCCGTCGTACTACGTGCTCACGTCGGCCCACTGCGCGCTCAGGTGAGTCGCTGGAGTGATCTAGAGAGCACGGCCCTGCTCGAGGCACGGTGCCTGACCGCCCCCCCCCCCTCCTCCTGGTCGCAGTGGCACGAGCTTCCAGCTCTTCGCCGGCAGCAACAAGATCACGTCGACGCAGAACCCCACTGAGACGGTGACGGCCACGCAGGCCGTGGACAACGTCATCATCAACAGCGAGTACCGCGAGTCCATGCTCACCGGAGATATTGCCCTCATCAATGTCTCCACAATCGCGCCGACCACCGCGACAGGTGAGTGAGACTCGCGCCATCGCGCGCCGCGGTGACGACGCCCTGTCTACTACACCACCCTCGTGCCCACAGCAGGCGCAGGCAGTATCACGACCGCTAACCTGGCCTCCGCCATCGACGCCACCAAGAGCTTCCTCGTCAACCCCGTCTCCATGGCCGGCTGGGGCTATCCCAACGATGGTGAGTGCAGTACAGTGCGCCCCTCGGCTCTCCCTCCCCCACAGCTCCTCCTGACTCACCCCGCGGCTCTCCCCCGCAGTGTTCAACGGCCCGTCCCCCAGCCTGCGCGAGCTCACCTCCTGGGTCGTCCCCAACTGGTACTGCGCGGTGCGCCACATCACGCTGCCCATCCGCAAGACCCACATGTGCACCGCCGGCCTGCCCAACAAGGGCCCCTGCACGGTGAGCGCCGCCAGCATGGCCGCCAGCCCGCAGTGTTTGTTTCTCCGCTGCCTCCTGGTCTTACAACCGTTCTCTCCCTTCAGGGTGACTCCGGCGCGCCGCTCATCGCCAAGGTCACGCGCGACAACGTTGCGTCCACCAAGGTCGTCGGCGTGGCCACGCACACACCGCGGGATGGCTGCAGCCGCGGCAAGCCCGGCGTGTTCACCCGCGTCGGCGACTACCTCGACTGGATCGTCCAGATCACCGGCTACGACGTGGACAGCGCGTAATCGGGGTCCCCCGACGACGATCACCATGGGTAGCGAAGCAAGAGCAAGTCGAAATAAATGACATAATCACGGAAAAAAAGGGTTTGCCGTAGCGACCAGAACCGCTTCGTTGAGTGCAACTTGGTTGCTTGTATCGGGCATGTTGATTCTGACTAACAGTTGAGTAGCTCGTCCTAGTACAACTCGCTTGGTAGACCATGGCTGATTCCTACAACTAAGTCAGCTTGCACAGAGAAGTTGGTTGCTA